TGTCCTTTGCTTGCTCGCCCCATCGTTGCGGGGTGGGCGGCGGACTAGGCCATTGCCTGCGGGCGGTGGCGGGGGGGGGGCAGCCAGGCACCTGGGCCTTTGCCCTGCGCTTGTATGGCGGTCCTTGCCTTCGGGCTCCGCCCTACAGGTGCGGGGTAAAGGTGGTCGGTGGTGTTCGGGGGCCCTCTTTGCAGCCCCTTCGATCATGGACTGGTGGGAGCCAAGAGAGAGCCACTGGAACACGAGCAGGAGACAGGAGGGAGGAGGAGGAAGAGGAGGAAGAGGAGGAGAAGGAGGGATGCCAGGGAGGATACAGGTTGAAGACATATAGGAGGCATGGATGGGACAGGGAAGAGGAGGAGGAGGTGGAGGAGGAGGAGGAGGAGGATGACGAGGAGGAGAAGGAGGAGGAGGAGGAGGAGGAGGAGGAGGACGGAGGAGGTGGAGAATGGGAGGCGAGGAGCGGGGAGGACGAGGAGTAGGAGGAGAAGACAAGGATGACCAGGAGGAGAATGAGGAGAAGGAGGAGGGGCATGGAGGATGATGACGGCGGGGGGGATTTGGAGGATGGAGGGTCGCAGATGATGATGCTTACGATGGTGCTGATGATGCAGATGGTGATGACGATGACGATGATGATGATGATGATGATGGTGATGATGATGATGATGATGATGATGATGATGATGATGATGTTATTGGTGACGATGAGGATGAGGCCGGGGCTGTTGATGAGGATGCGGACGGGGACGAAGCTGAATATCATGATCCGGATCATGAGGATGGTGATGCTGATGATGATGATGATCGTCAGGAGCATCATGACGACAATGCTTGTGATGGTGTTGGCGACGGTGATGGTGATGATGGTGGTGATTGTGTTGCTGTTGTTGATGATGATGTTTGTGGTGATGAGGACGGTGATGATTAAGGCGGTGATGGTGGTGTTGCTGATGATGATGATGATGATGATTGCAGTGATGTTGATGGCTATGTTAATGGTGATGGTGATGGTGATGGGTTTGACGATGGTTGTGATGATGGTGACGATGATGATGATGATGATGATGTACATGGCGATGACGATGGTGATGATGGCAAGTATGATGGTGATGGTGGCGGTGATGATGATGATGTTGCTGTTGAGGATGAGAATGACGATGGTGATGATGGTGATTCTGGTGATGATGGTGGTGATGATGACGATGATGGTGTTAGTGATGGTAATGATGAGGATGATGAGGATCATGGTGGTGGTGCTGGTGCTGGTGATGAGGTTATTGACGATGACAGCGATGTTGATGGCAATGGTAATGGTGTTGGTGATGATGACGACGAGAATGGTGATGATGATGACGAGGATGCATATGATGATGATGATGCTGATGATGAGGATGACGATGCTGATGATGCTGATGACGGTGATGATGATTATGGTATCTGTCAGAGTGATGACCGAATTGGTGATAACGTAATTGTATCCGGTGATGGTCATGATGCGGATGATGACGTAATGCCTCTTTGTACCAACGAACAAGTGTATCCTCCTCAACCTCTCGACGTCTGATGCCATTTGCGCTCAGGCGCTCGGCCGTTTCAGAACAACAGTTGGGCGCTGAAGCTGCCCCTTGGGCCGTGCGCCCTCGATGCCGCATTGCGGCGGGTCGATGAGAAGTTTTTTTTTTGCGCCTGCGATGTCGGAACCTGCGTCGCCCTCGAGGGCGCGCAGAAAGAGGGCGAGTGGTGCCGACGCGAACGGTGGCAAGGGGGAGGCGGGCGCGAGCGGCAGCAGAGCTGCAGACGACCTTTCGGGACGGGAGCATGGCCGACGCGCATGCGAGTCGCCCCCCTTGCCGCCTGCAAGGCAAGGCGATGGGAAGTGGCAGGCGGTGCGCGAGGGGCACGTAGGCCCGAGGATCACCCCCCAGGAGAAGCTGTCTCCTCTTGTCGCGGGCTCTGACGGCACCATCTGGCTCTCGGGCGGCCACGTCATTGCCCGCGACCCAGTCGCGCGCCTCCACTGCAAGGAGCTGCGCGGACAATTGCGACGCCCCTGCCTTCCAGAAAATCGGCCCGATCCTCGCTCTCGAGCGCGTCGCCGAGGCCACGGGCGGGGAGTGCAGGAAGACGGTCGTCAACAGGACCCCCGATCCTTGAATGTTCGTCAACATGCTTACCATTGCCACGGCAGCATGAAGCACGCTGACCCAGACCCCTGGCTCAGGCCCAGTACCACGGTTCACGATCGTTCTCAGCAGTGACAACCCAACCGCATCATGCACGTCTGCTTGCACTACAAGACGCCTCCTTCGAAGCCGAAAGAATGGTTGCGATGCGTGCTACCAGCACAGCATGATGCACCTGAATGCACCACCGCAGGCGGTGGCCACTGGAGGTGCGTCAGCAACCGCTGCGGCCCCAGGTGGGGGGCGAAAGAAGCCGACGCGTGGGAGTATCGGGCCATCGTCTTCCCGCCCCAGGTCATCATCGACAGAGGGGGGCATGTCGGGGGCCAGCGACGATGAGGTCGAGTCCGTTGAAAGGCCCCGCGAGCACAAGCCGTCCAAGCAGGCAGGGATGGCCCATTCTGGCCATGGCGGCCCCGAGCAGGAGGGCGCCCTGACCGTGCTCAGGGCGGCCAAGCTGGTCTCCATCGCCAGCACCCGCGATGGTGGCAACTTTTCCCTAGTCGGCCTCATGGGGGAGGAGATCGACACGGTCACGGGGTCCATCGACGCCAGCGACGAGGAGGCCTACAAGAAATTCATCGAGCATGTGCCCGCGCACTCTGAGAAGAGGGTCATCCTGACGGAGCTCAGGCAGCTGGACGTCCGTCTCCACTGTCAGGACCCGCGCTTTTCCCAGGGCAAGCTCACGAGGCTCACGGGCAACTACCGCGCCTCCCGTTCACATGCAGACTGCCGCATCCTGAACCATGGGGAGCGCAACGGGCCCCTCGACTGCCTGCTCCCGTTCTTCGACATCAAGGGCGCCTGCGGCAACCCGAATGCCAGGCCGTCTCGCAAGCGGAAGAACAAGCGGCAGCATTCTTGGGGGCGCCCGTGCAAGCGCCATCAGCAGCCCACCTTGAAGCTGCTTGCGCGTCGCGACCGCGGCTGCT